TTTTATGAAAAGAGGTATTTGGAATTATTATTTAATTAATATGACTATAAATGTTATTTTAGCACTGTTAAACTAAAAAAAAATATTCATGTCGAAAATATCTTGTTGCTTAAAATACTTTTAGTACTATAAAAACGCCAAAAACTATAAAACTTCAATTATGCCGTATTTTTAATACAAAATTATCTATTATGTGTAGCAAAAGTGTATATAGCTGTTAGTATTTTTAATAATAAAAAATATGATTTTTTATTATATTGAGATATAACATTTATGGAACGCTAAATAGTTAAATATAATATGATAATAGAGCAAGTTTTTTTTTATAATACGTGTATATATAAAATAAATTCTTAAAATTTAAGTATAACCTTAAGTAGTATAAAATAATTTTTTATTTACAAAATATAATTTCAAAAATTTTTTTTTGCCTAAAATATGCAAGAATGATGGCAATAAAATACATTCTAAAAAAAAAAATTGGCTAAAATTTCAGTTATAGTTAGTTTTAGCATAAATAAAAAATAATAAATAAATTATAATTATAATAACTATTATCACTATTTTATTAAAAATAAATTTAAAAGCAACTATTAAAAAATTAAACTAATATATATATTATTAATGAAGTCATGTTGATAATTTTCTGTATATAATTTTTTTGGTTTGTATTTTATAGGTCTACATTTTAATAATATGTCATATCAAATAATTTACTTCTTTATTATATGTATGTTTTATTAATTTTTCTTTAGAAAAAACTCGATCTTTCCCTTTGTTAAAAAATATAAATGCAAAAAAGACGAATTGATTTATTTATTTAAGTTTAATTATAGAAATAAACAAAATATTAGCTTTCTTAAAAAAAAATTGTTTTTTTAATTAATTTCCAAAAACTAAGGAATTATTATTATTTTGAATATTGAATTGATACATTTTTATGAAAAATTCTAAAAAAATTTATTCTGCTATAAAAGATATTATTACATAATAGCATCTTAATTTAAAAATAGACTAAAACGTATTATTTAATAATATTTAGAATAATACATAACACACTTGAGAAAACCTTCGTATTTATACTATCAAAATAATACATATTGTAATATAATTAAGCTACACTTATTGTTGCGTAATACTCTTAGACAACGGCTCCTAGTGTAAGGTTTGCAGTAATTGGTTGATTAGTATATTATTTAA